GCTCTTTTTAGCGTGGGACTGACTGTTCGTCTACCAGGGACTGGGCCTACGCCAGTCCCGTGCTAAAATTAGCACAGTCCCACGCTATTTTTAGCGTGGGACTGACTGTTTGTCTACCGGGGACTGGGCCTGCACCAGTCCCGTGCTAAAATTAGCACAGTCCCACGCTATTTTTAGCGTGGGACTGACTGTTCGTCTACTGGGGACTGGGCCTGCGCCAGTCCCGTGCTAAAATTAGCACAGTCCCACGCTATTTTTAGCGTGGGACTGACTGTTCGTCTGCTGGGGACTGACCGTTCATATTCCAAGGTCGGGACTGCTGCTATTTTTACCTCAGGCCCGGTCTAAAGTTTGACCACGGTCCGACCATGGGACTGCTGCACTCAGCCCCGATCACTTGGCCTCTTCATTATAAAAGAGAGGCCATGTCACCCAGGAGGGAGAGACAGACCAAGACGAGCTCACTGACAGAATGCAGAGACACTGGCGGGACGGCAAGGAGGAGGGATTGAAGCTGATTGCGCTGGAGTAGCTGGGAGAGCGAGACTAGACAGGCAAGAAGGAGGTAAAGGGGTGGGGTTGCAAGGGGAAAGTAAGGCGGCCTGGCTCTCACTAGGTCCATCTACTCTCCTCTCTATCTTCTCTCCTACCTTCTTCATTCTGCTCTTTTGCTCACTCCCTTCCTCTTTCCTCCCCTGCTTTTCCGTTGGTCAATCGGTCTTCTGTTGAGTGAGCGCCGGTGAAATATTCACAGTAAGTGTTGTTGACACTCTGCGTTCACACTCCCTGTACATGAGGGCTGAAGACACTATGCACCCTTGCTTACCATACTTGAGGGCTGATGACACTGCGTGATCACTGTACTTAAGCGCTATTAATATCGCGCCCTCTCTCGCGCCGTGTCTAGAGATTGTCAACGCCATGAGTTCACGCCTTCCACCCATGCTGATTGGCTGTGCTGAGAGGCACTCAAACTGAGTGTGTCGATTTATTGTGCCAAGAAGACGCTCTAATTAAGTCTGTTGATTGACTGTGCTAAGAGGCACTCAAACTGAGTGTGTCGATTTATTGTGCCAAGAAGGCGCCCTAATTAAGTCTGTCGATTGACTGTGCCGAGAGACACTCAAACTGAGAGTGCCGATTTATTGTGCCAAATAGGCACTCTAATTAAGTCTGTTGGCTGTGCCGAGAGGTACTCAAGCCTATTGTGTCTATTTACTGTGTCAAGAAGGCGCTCGAATTAAATGATTGACTGTGCCAGCAGGCATCTGAACAGAACATTATTATTGATTGTGCCAGCAACCACCTGAACAGAGCATTATGATTGACTGTGCCCAAAAACACTTAATTGAAGTATGCCGATTTACTGTGCCAGAGAGAACTTGTTTTGAGCATGTCAGTTTTGAGCATCCAGTGTCCCTGCGACTGTGCGCATTTATGTGCGACGCTGCGCAAACCATGACTTTT